GTACATTCCGAAATCTATCTGCTACTACTTGCTATAATAGAGGTAGTCCTTGACATACGACCGCCACTGAGTCCAACAAGTCTGCTGTTAAATGAGACATTTGTTAAGGGGGCTAACAAATGACTGAGAATCTCCATAGACTTTTACAACATAATCACCAAACTGGTTGTAACACCGGTTGAATCCCATCCCATCAACTAGGTACATATTTCTTGTGCTTACCATTATAATTCATGCTTTGCTTACCACGATAACAACAATCACATTTTCTTGTATTATCCAATATAATCTATTTTTTAAAGAATCTTCTTATTGCTTTATATATTCATCTTGTCCATTTTAATTTATGTTATTTTCTAACAGTTGATAAAAATACATCCCATCCCATATAATATTCAATTTCTTCTTTTTCTTTGATTACCAATGTTAACCTATTCATTTTAGTTTACTTTATTATCCAATAATTTTTTTATTTTTATGTTTTAAAAAACATCTCTTTTGGCGAACAATGTGGTTCCAGGCAGGGGTAGGATACGACAGGGCTAACTACCGGTTCGGGATTCACGAGCTTCCCTGCAGGCCGTGAGCTGCGTGCCTGTAAATCGTCATCAGCACGCTATGTGCAGAGAAGCAGCCTTTGAAACAGCCCTCTTTTCTTGCTTTTCTAACTGCAGCTGTGCCTCATTCGGCAGCTGAAGTTGAAAAATCAGGAAATAGAGATCAGGTAAAAGCCCGTGTGGGTGGGCAGGCAAAAACATCAGCAGACATAGAACTGGTTCTATGTCTGCTGGTCTTCAGAGCTCCCGGTTCTACAGAGGTGGACGGAACCGGTAGAAACCCACCCCTTGTTCCAGGTTTTTACATTTCAATACAAACATGACCACAGTTACATATTTACCTTTCGTACACAATTTCATATCATATTATTATTTATTCTATTTTCTTTTAAATATTCTCAATGAAAATAAACACAAACATGCATCCTTCACATTCTGTACATTGAACTGAAAACCCCTGATATTGCATTAATATTGCACTCTACAGTAGAATCCAATAGAGTTACTGCTCTGGGATAGAAGCTGTTTTTCAGCCTATTTGTCCTTGTTTTTATTATTGTCTTGTCCATTTAACAGCAGACATTGTAACTTGGAACAGTCACCAAATGCATCATTGTACAGATGTTTTACAGATGGTATCTGCCTCCTTCAAGGTTAGCGAAAATGTATCCCAACATGAATCCAGCATGTTGGAAGTGTAAAAAGAAAAGAAGGTTCATTCTACCACATGTAGTGGTCCTGCACAGAGACCCAAAAATATTGGTGAAAAATTAAGCAATGGTTGCAAGAAATTATTAATGAACCAATACAACTAGAACCAGAACTATTTTTATTGGGGATATTCAAAAAGAAATACAGGAGAAATATAAAATATATAGTATTACATATTCTAACTGCAGCCAGAATTGCTTACGCACAGTGCTGGAAACATATATGCATACTACCAGATGAATTGATCATTCAAAAAGTAATGACTTGTGTTGAGATGGATAAATTAACTCTGATGTTACAAGAGAGAGAGGAGACCGAGTATTATAAGACTTGGGAAAAATGGTATGACTGGATTAAGCAAAGATAGATAAATGGATGATGAAAAAATTAATGATAAGCAACATATAAACTAATGTTTAAATTGCCATAAATTGTACATATTTGTAAATAATCCACAAAATAGTAGTATAAGACGAACACCACAAATTATTGAAGTTAAGATATTTGTACTCTTTGGTTTGTTTGTTTGTTTTTTAAAGTTATAAAAGACTGTTTATTTTTTTTTAAAAAACGCATCGTCGTACAGTGAGGACTACCTGTACCATCCACCCACCACTGAAGTCCCCTAAGCAAGCCGCAGCAACACAATTTTGCGTTAAACTACGGCTCCCATAAACCTTTGCTGCTGGCCCCGCCCCGCTGAGGCTGCCGGGAGCTGTAGTAGCTTCTTCCTCCTCCCTACCCACTTTGCGGCTAAGCCAATGAAACGCGTTCGCCCGGCTCTGTCCGCTCCAGCTGCTTTCTCCAGTTCCCGCTCCTTTATAGACTTATAAAAAGTGCAGAGTGATGGTATCTTTTATTTTAATCCCAGGTTGGCACTTCCGAGCTTTCTTTTCCACCTCCAAACCTTCCTAAGAGGGTTTTTTTTAAAAAAAGAGTTTTCCCAGGAGAGGAAAATCGATTTGCAAGTCCCAGCTGCGACTACTACATAACCCACCCCAAAGGTAAGCAGCTGCAAGGGAGGGGGGTTGCAATTGAGGAGGGAAGCAAGGAGCAGAGAGAAAGAGAGCAAGCAATTGGGGGGAGGGAGGGAAACTGCCTGCAAAGGTAAACACACAGACACCACTTTTCTCCCGCGCGTGCAATTGCACAACTGCCGTTGCAATTGCACCATTGTCGTTGCAATGGCGCATTAACGGTGCATTGCAATAATTGCACCCGTTTGTGCAAAGCCAGGGACATCCCCCTCTGCACCTTTCTATTTCCTCCCAGGTGGAGAAAACCGACGTTGTTTCTTGGCGGTACGCGTTGGTTTGCACGTGCTCCGTCCGGACCGGACCGGTGGAGGAGGAGGGCGCCCCAAGCTTTTAGCTGCAGGGAGGGGTGGTCTCTAGGCTGGGGTGGTAGGGGGGCCTCTCCTCTTGCATGAATCCGGATCCTGAGAAGCGCCAACGCCGCTCTGTGCAGGTATCCCTCGACTTGCGACGCTGTGCTTCGTTTAGTGACCGTCCGACATTCACAGCGGCGGTGGAAAAAAAGGGGACATAGTTAGGACCTTAACCCTGAACCCTAACCCGTTTTTTCCCAGTCATAAGTCCATAAAAAGGTACTTAGGACCCTTTGCAAGCATCCCCTGGGTCATCTGGTCCAAGTGGCGTTTGGCCACTGACTCGCACTTAGGATGGTTGCGATGTGTCCCCGGGAGGTCGCGGGATCCGCTGTTGTGACCTTCGGACCAGCCGAGGCCATGGGAAAGCCTCGTTTACACTTCACAACTAGTTTACTGACTTAATAACGGCAGTGATTTACTTAACAACGGTGGCAAGAAAGGCCGTAAAATGAGGCCCAAACTCACATAACCAAAGTCTCACTTAGCGACAAAAATTTGGGGCTGCATTGTGGTCGTAGGTTGAGAACGTCCTGTACTGTTACATTATAGGAATGTGCCTCAGTCTCATCATCATCATCATCATCATCATTATTATTATTGTTATTATTATACACAAAAATGACTGTGTACACAGCAAGCAAGATAACTATGCTGAGTTTCGTTTCACAAATCACTAATCTAACACTTCCCAGGTGTTTAGGACTTTGTGATTTTATTATTAGTATTATTTAGTGTGGAATTGTTGAGTGTTTTTTTTTAAAAAAAACACAATTCTTAATATATAATGTATATAAAATACATTTGTTTGCCTTATATATGCAACTCTGTTGCGAGAGCAAAGACTTTGGAAAGGCAGCATTAGAGAAAGAGTAAGACTTCCTTTTTAAGAAACATGATGTCTGGAAAGGACAAAAATACTATTAGGAAAGAAAGAGAACTAAAAAGAAACACAGGACAGACAGGAATGGGAAACCAAAAGGAAAAAAAAGGAAAGTCATCCTCAACAAAACACCAACACAACTCAAGTTTTAAAGTTTAGCTGCTTTTATGATAATCCACTTGCCTAATTTTATATTTAATACATCCTGGAACTGTTGCATGTTTAAATAGGGAATTAAACCATATAAACTCATGTTATTTATCCAGCTAGAGACAGGAGCAACCAGCTATAAGCATTGCCAAACCTGGAAAAACTGAATGCTACAGATTGCTCTTGATTTATAGATTTCCTAAATCAAATATTATCCTCGAATTACCACCACAATTGAGCCCAAAATTTATGTTGCATCATGTATACTAGTATACTAGCTTGATACCCGGGTTTTGTACCATAACACTATTACATTTATCACTCTACTAGCTGGATACCCATGCTTCACTAGGAAACTATGCAGTCGGACTTAATTTTGGGGGAGGAAAATAAAGGGGAAAATAATTCTGCCTCTGCCGACCAGCACCCATCAGTATTCATCTGGCTAGCATCCTGTCAGTTGAAGGCTGGAAACTGAAACAGTATTTGCTGTGTGAGCAAGGAGACAGCAAGGAGCCTGGGTGTGGCTTAGCTCAACTGTTCTGTACTAAAGCTGCTTGGTGCTCTGAAACTGAAACTCCACTGCTTGTGTTTTGCATTTGGACCAGATTTTTTTCCAGGTGGGGAGGGGGAGTAGAACTCCTTAGCATCAGAGCCTGTTAATAATAATCATATAGGAAATACTAATGCCCTGATGGTCATTTCGAAAAATCCTTTCTTAGTGAGCCCCTAAAAGCCAAGAGGAACATACGACCGGGTCAGTAACTTATCAAAACTGCGGTGCTTTGCTTAGCAACCGTTGGTTAGAAATGTTGTAAAATGGGGCAAAAACTCACTTAACAAATGTCTTGCTTGGCGTGAAGCTCAACCTTTCTCTCTGTAATGGTCTGTCAAGCTTGCTGCCATTGAAACTGTTATCCCTTATTTTTAGGGCAACCTCCTATCAAGAGAAGACAAAGGAGTGAAAACCAGAAGCACAACGGAAAACCAGAGAAGAGAAAAAGAAGAGGAAGTTTAAAATTTCAGCTAAATTTAATTTACGGCGACTTCATTCACGATACGCCTCCATATTTTTCGTCGCTGCCAAGTCACTCTTTGCATCTCTCGTGCCATGCCTTACGACTCGCTCTCTGGGAAGTGACCTATCTCCCAGGAAGGAAGGAAGGAAAGAAGAAAGGAAAAGGAAGAAAGAGAGAGAGAGAGAGAGAAAGAAAGAAAGAAAGAAAGAAAGAAAGAAAGAAAGAAAGAAAGAAAGAAAGAAAGAAAGAAAGAAAGAGAAAGAATTTGCACCAAAACAGATTCCTTGTGTGTCCCATCACCACTGGGCCAATTAAGAATTCTATTCTATTCTTCTATTCTAAAGAAAGAGAGATAGAGATATATAGATATAAATATACATACTGCAAATTTAGGGAAAGGAAAATGGCAGCAACGGATGTGTATTTGTAAATAAGAAAAATAAAGCTGGCTTTTTTGCACGATTTATCCAGCCTATCCGTTTTATGAAGAAGAAATGGACACAGTAATAGATGCTGGGTTTTTTTTAACAGACAGACTAACTGCGTTGGAAGGGACCTTGGAGGTCATCTAGTCCAGCCCCCTGCTTACACAGGAGACCCTATACCATTTCTGACAAGTGGTTGTGCAGTCTCTTTTTAAAAGCCCCCCCCCCCCCCCATCCCTACTTTTTTAGTGTTCTTTATAAGAATACCTACTTCTGTCTTTTGGGGGGAAATTGGACTAAAGTTGCTTCTGGTCATTATAGAAATTGATCGCTGTAGAAACATTATTTTAAATAATAGGGTTCTGTAAACATTTCTTTTGTTCAGCCCGGACATTGATCTTGGGATTAATCTGGAAGGATGCCTTCATTCCTGAAAAGGGCATTATATATCTCCATCATGCATCCGATGCCCCACAATACTTCTTTTCTTTCGTATCTTTCTCTTCTGACATTAAAACCATCTCTAAACCATGCTGCTCCCTCAAGGAAATATTGCTCCAGGACAAACAAGGTGATTGTAATTTGTTACTTGCTTGTACGGTTGGAGAGAGAACTGGTGCATCTGTTGCATAAATGCATACAGTTATTACCTTTAAGTCAGGGACCATGTTAAAAAGTTTGATTCCAAAGAACAGGAAATACAAATTATTTTTTTATATATTTTTATTAATACATTTTTCTTTAACATATATAAGTGTTTGGTGAACAGTGTATCATCTGGGTCATTTTACATACCGGTATACATAATAATAATAATAATATTTAGTCGTATATAATAATAATCTTCCAACACTTAATTTCTACTTTTTTTTTCTAACCATTGGTAAAAAGAATCTCAAATTAAAAACTATTCCGTGTTTTCTTTATTCCTTATTTTTAACGTTAACCTACCCATTTCTGCGCATGCTAATATTTTTTTGATTATATTTTCATCTGAAGGATTCCTCATTTTTCTAGTTTTGCGCAAATAACATCCTCGCTGCCGTCAAAACATGTAATATTCAATATGCATTCCCTCTATTATATTTTTCTGGCAAAATACCTAACAAGAACATTTCTGGCTTTATGTTGCTTTGTCATTTTTTCTAACCATGTTTGTATGTTCATCGGGAAATATACATTATTATGATCCAATCAGAAGATAAAGGTTTTTATGAAAGTACTCTTTTCATGAAACAGTTTTTAAACAGCTTTTAACTAATCGGTGTTTTTCTTCTTTGATTTTTTTTTAGGATACAGTGGATATGTCCTTGTTCCCTGCAGAAAATATTCGAAATTTTAGCATAGTAGCCCATGTGGATCATGGAAAGAGTACATTAGCTGATCGGCTGCTGGAAATAACAGGTGCAGTAATTTTAATAAAATGTGTGCCTCTCTATTTGCCTATTTGGTTATGTGTTGTAATGCCAAGTTTCTTGTATTTTCTGAAAATATTTCAAATATCTGAGACCTCCATGTTTAAAATGTTGTGTTTCTCCATGGAAGTGACTCTTAAAATTTAGTTTATTGACAACTTTTAAGACTTGTGGACTTCATTTCCCAGAATTCTCCATCCAGCATGACAGCCTTGCATGGTTGGCTGGGGAATTCTAGGAGTTGAAGTCCACAAATCTTAAAATTGCTAAGTTTGGAGGTGGCTGACATATTCATTTGGAGTCAAGAAACAAGGAAGTGTTGAGATTTCTGTTCTATTTAGACATGATAAAATTAGGATTGTTTCATTTACTGAAACTACAACAGACTGGCATTGTAGGAAAAAAATGTTTACCATATATACTCACAGCTAAGCCAAATAGTTTGTAAAATACACCCCAAAAGATTGGCTTTTATGCAAGTGGTAGACCTTAATGACCGCAGGTGATTTCCTTAATAATGGCAGGGGAAGTAGAATTGTAAATCTTGTCGTCACAAGACATCTTGGTTAACAACCGCAGTTATTCACTTAACGACCTTAGGAGGTAACAGCAGAACCTTTTAATGATTCTTTACGAATTCCGTTCCTTCCCAGTTAAAAGGCTGTTTCAAGCTAATTGTCTCTGATAAGAACGCGCCTTGCCAAGGTTGTGCAAGGCTGCCAAGAACACTAGATAAAGTAGCCAAGGAATATTTCAAACACAAAGAGTCTCCAAACACCAACCAAGAATGCTTCCTGCAAAGAACTCTGGTTTCTCAGCTGGCTTTTATCTGCTTGAAGGAGGGACCATTACCTTGCAGCCTTACTCCCGAGTCGCCTGTGCTGCTGCAGCTGCTCTTTCCTTCAAGCAACCCTGCGCGGATGCGCACTGGGCACAGGCTCCTCGGGGACCTCTTCATCACTGCTGTCAGCCTCTACCATCTCCAAAGGTAGCACTCCACTCCCTGATGGTCCTGGCCCCATCCCTGCATCACACACAGGCCCCTCATCCGAGTCCTCGCTTTCCGGGACCTCAGCCATCCTCACCTGCTGCTGGCAAACCACAACAATAATGATCATGAGCTCTCTCTCTCTCTCTCTCTCTCTCTCTCTCTCTCTCTCTCTCTTTCTTTCTTTCTTTCTTTCTTCATCATCCTCTAGGAGCAATTGCCAAAGCCGACCATAATAAGCAGGTGCTGGATAAATTGCAAGTGGAACGCGAAAGAGGCATTACGGTGAAAGCCCAGACGGCTTCCCTCATTTATAACCACCAAGGAACAAATTATCTCTTAAATCTCATCGATACACCGGTACGTGCCTTGCTGGTTATGACTCGGGCTTCTTGCCTTACTTGCCGCCTTGCTAACTTTGCTTCCTGGGCTGCTCACAGCCAGAGGCTGTCGGAGGTGTGTGTGAGAGCTTTGCTGAGGTGTGATTAATTTTTTTTTTATAAATTCCTTTTTCTTTATTATCATTTGTGGTGGAGTTCCAAAGAGGCCCCAAAATATTGGCAAAAATTACATAAGTGGCTGGAAGAAATATGTGGGATGAAAATAGAACATAGACCGGAGGTTTTTTCGGTTAGGGATTAATATGAGGAAATATCACAAGGAAAACATACTTAATAATCCATATAATTACTGCAGCAAGATTGGCGTACGCACAGAAATGGAAAAATAAAGATACTCCAAATGAATTTGAAATACTTAGGAAAATTATGATGTGCGTAGAAATGGATCAACTAACAAAGGAATTAAAAAATAAAGGAGGATTTGACTTTTAATAAAATATGGGACAAATTTTATGGTTGGCTAGAGAAGAGGAAGATTCAAGAGAATAAGGAATGATAATATTTAATGTATATTTGTATGAAATTGTGTATTATTATTATTGGATAGCAAAGTAATGACAAAGATCGATGTTAGGAAGACTGTACCATGTTCAACATTTTTAATGTATTTTTTGTTTATTTTTGTGTTTTGTTTAATAAAGAAAGTGGCTTGGTGGACTTGGTAGGCATGGCAGGGAAAGGATATACTGCAAAATCCCCATTCCCTCCCCAACCCACTGACCTACTTTCCCGCTCCGTTCTCCTGTCCAGGGCAACCAAAGAAAACCCAGCCGATCAGCTGGGACTTAGGAGGCGGAGAATAGATGGGGCGGGGCCAGTCAGAGGCGGTATTGGCCGGTTCTCCGAACTACTCAAGATTTCCGATACCGGTTCTCCAGAACTGGTCTGAATCGGTTGAATACCACCTCTGCTTTGCTCCAGGTCTTGCAGTAAACATGGGGACTTGGGGGGCAAAGTTGGAGCAATAAATGGGGAGTTAGACCTATTCTCTGGCTGTGTTGCTTCCGTGCCTTGCCCCGGGTCATCAGAGGTTTGAAATTCTTCTGATAAATAAGCAGTGCGCCATTTGAGAACTTGACGGCAATCTATTGATGCTCTTCATCAGACGTTTCTTCTCTTCTGCTCAGGGTCATGTGGATTTTAACTATGAAGTGTCACGGTCACTGTCGGCTTGCCAAGGAGTCCTGTTGGTCGTAGATGCAAATCAGGTATGCTTTCAAAATTAAGCCGGGTTTTGTTTCCGAAGGGACGAAAAGATTTCCAGTTCCAAATACAGGCAGTGCAAAACTGGCTCACCAGACAAATCATCATCTTCTTTTAATCCCTTGCTGGGTAGAGTCAGGGCAACTGAATGAAGCTAGCAGAGTGTTTTATTGGCCGGATGCCCTTCCTGTTGCCAGTGCAGAGTTTTGCTTGGTAGATATATTCTCATCGTGCCGAGAGAGAGAAATATCTGCCTCTTCCTAGGATTGAACCCACAGCCTTCTGAGGTGAGAGCTCCATCTCTAGGCCATCACATGACTCTTGGCTCACCCAAGAAATGGCCCGTAGAGCTCAGAAAACAACGCGAGCTGCTGCCGCCACCTCCTCCCCCTCCTCCCGAGCAGACTGAAAGCAGCTGGGGCTGAGGAAACGAAGCCACCTCGGCTCGCATTGTTTTCTGAGATCGCGAGCCTAGAGCTCAGAAAACAACGCAAGCCGCTGCCACCACCTCCTTCTCCCCCTCCTCCCGAGCGGACTAAAAGCAGCTGGGGCTGAGGAAGCGAAGCCACCTCGGCTCGCGTTGTTTTCTGAGATCTAGAGCCAGTGCGCTTTCATTGCACGGCGGAGTTTCTTGTTTCAGGAAACACCGGGCGTCGTTGCTGCCCCCTGAGGGGAGGGCGATTCTGGGCTGCGCGATTGGGGGACTTCGTGGCTTTGGGTGGGTGGGTGGGTGGGTGGGAGCGAGGACGGACGGAGTCCGCGAAGCGGGGTTTGCCTGCCCTTGCTGGCTGCCTCTGCTTCCTTAGGGGCGGGAAAGGGGCTCATCTGGACCAAGTCTCCCCCTCAGTTTCCCCTGAAGGATCTTCCGTCGCTTTTGCCTTCTCCCTGTGTCTTCCCTCTGTTAAAATCCCCCACACACACACACTTATTTTCAGGCGGATAGATTTCATGTCTGAACATTCTCACATGACAGTGGGTCTTTTTTCCCCCTAAAAACAGTTAAATAAAGAAAAAACAATATATCCTCATGCAAGAACTTTTCTGCTTCCGATTACCCCCATGCTTACAAGTTGCAAAGGAAACACGGAAGCAGGGAAGCGGCTGCCCAGCTCTGAGAGCTCCACACCATTTTTCTTTCAGAGGGAATCTCACTCGAGTATAAGCCAAGGTGGGGGGTTTCAGCACAAAAAATGTGCTGAAAAACTCGGCTTATACTCGAGTCAATAAGTTTTCCCAGTTTTTTGTGGCAAAATTAGGTGCCTCGGCTTATATTCGGGTCGACTTATATTCGAGTATATATGGTATATATATATATATATATGTATGTATGTATGTACATACGTACGTACGTGTGTATGTATATATATATATATATATATATATATAAAAGAAGGGTCCCTCTTGAGATATCATCACTCATGTGGCCTTTGGCAATGTGATTTTTAAAATTGGGTTAAAACACAACCAAGTAAGTCAGAGTCTTAGGCTCCTGTCGTATTGGGGGTTTAGAAAATCTGTAGAGATTGTTCTCCTCCTTTGGCTTTCTAATTGCCAATTGGCTTTAGTATTGATTTTTAATTTAAGGGTAAACAAAGCTTTTTTTAAAAAAAAAACCCATTCATCTTCTTGGAATTGCAAAGGTGGAACCTAAATGAAAAATATAAACTAGTGCAGTGGGAGAGAGGAGAGGAGAGAATTGTGTTTCCATTGTGACACTTAAAAGATGGACCACTTAATTTTAAGCAGGTTTTTTTTTTAATGTTTGTATTGTACATTTTTCTTTATTATACATCACATTTCCAGTTTTACAACAGCAGTGTACTGGCTATATCAAGTCCATTTTAAAATATACATCATATTATACGCTGTGGTTATAACCATTATTCTCACAGTCATACAGTATCATCTCTTTTAAATACATAGTATTGTACGTCATAATTATAACTATGGTTTTCATATTTGTACCATGACACTCTATTACATTTATCACTCTACTAGCTGGATACCCATGCTCTGCTATGAAACTATGTGAATGGACTTAGTTTTTGGGGAGGAAAATAAGGGGGAAAAAATTGTGCCTCTTCTACCAGCATCCATCGGTATTCATCTGGCTAGCGTCCTGCCAGTGTGTGAGAGAGTTGAGAGCTGTTTGGAAACTGAAACAGTACTTGCTGTGTGAGCAAGAAGGAGACAGCAAGGAGCCTGGGCGTGGCTTAGCTCAACTGTTCTGTACTAAAGCTGCTTGGTGCCGTGAAACTGTAACTGCAATTGAAAGTCCTCTCTTCTGCTTGTGTTTTTGCATTTGAAGAGATTTCTTTTCAGGTGGGGAGGGGGAGTAGAATTCCTTAGCATCAGAGCGTAATAATAATAATAATAATAATAATAATAATAATAATAATATAGGAAATACTAATGCTCTGATGGTCATTTCGAAAAATCCTTTCTTAGTGAGCCCCTAGAAGCCAAGAGGAACATAGATGCCAAATTTCAAGTTTGTAGGCTTTACGGTTCTAGAGATTTTGGGATGACGCGTGAGTGGCATTTCTATATATAGATACGTTTACTCTATACTCACGTACAGTCCGTTAGTGAAATTGCTTACAGTATATATTCTTACTTATATCTAGATACCTGTATTTATTTTGTTAATCTTTTTTTGTTTTGTTTATTTTGTTAATCTTCTTTTGTTTTTAAGTTACTAGTCTCTGCACCTGTTATTTAACCATTTGTACAATACAGGTATCCTTAAGATGTACAGTAAACAGGTATTCTTAAGATGGGATGAAGTGCTGGGAATTTAATCAATACAAGTGTTGTGTTTGTTGCTGGAGTGGTAAAGATTTATCAACTAGCAATAAAATGTTACTTGCTCTGCTTCTGCCATTTCTTTACAGCTAATCTTTGTTTCATGAGTACAAGCAGAAAAATGTACGTTGACTTCTGTTGTTCCATCAACAGGTTTCTTGGGGTTTTTTGTTCTGTGTAAGCTGCTATTTTATTATATTATATTTTTGGCAACAGCATAAAATGTTAACTGCAATCTGTTGGAAATTCTGGTGTGTTTTTTTGTGTGTGTGTTTTTTTAGGGTATACAGGCTCAAACTGTAGCCAACTTTTACCTTGCATATGAAGCCCAGCTCTCAATCATTCCTGTTATAAATAAGGTAAGATTTCCGCATTCTCCACAGCCTCAGTTCATTTTAGATATTTTGCGAATTGCACAGGCGGTCCTTGCGTTACGACAACAAACTGAGCTCAAGATTTCTGTGGTTAGGTGAGATAGTTGTTAAGTGAGTTTGGCCCCATTTTACGACTTTCCTTGCCACAGTTGTTAAGAGAATCACTGCAGTTGATAAGGAACTCACCGTCTCCTGGTGATTGGCCCAAAGTTACCCAACCAGTTT